CCAAAAGGTGTCAGTAGATGAAAACAAGGGGCCAAATAGCATAGTATAATTTTTAATAGGGATAAAGAAAAAGTTCTGCATTTGGATTAAAATAATCAGCTTTGCAAATACAAGATGGGGGTGTATACCACTAGATGTTTCTTAATGAGTAAAGTGTTTGACTCACGATCAACCCAAAGCCTGTCTTCCTCCTAGAGGACTTTCCACATTATGAAAGCATATAGCACCAAGGCCTATTTCTATTTCATGTCTTTCCTGATCAGAGGGTCTTTGAACTGGATTATTTCTGTTATGTCTTTCAAGTTTTGAATGATTTTTGATGTATGGTGGAGAGACACTTCATTGCAAAAGAGCCTGTAAGCCAGTGTTTTCTTCTCCTCAATCAAATAATTTCTCATAATTAACACACATTAAACCCAATGGGCTTACATGGTCTTCAGCTTTCAGTCAATTACAAAATAGTTAAGATGCAGTCCATTGTTGAATACTGATTCCAAAAGCCGAAGATGTTCACATTTTGATGGAGGGGATCCATCACAGATTACAAGTTGAAGATTTCTCTGTGGATGCTTATGTCCCTGAAATGCATTTGTTTGTCAGTAAATCCCTGGAACACTGCAGAGTCTCCTGGAAGAAATATATAACCACCCAAAAGAGTTTGGCTTCTCCATACATGAAGGAAAAACTGAGTGAATGATGAATATCTGTTGCCCAGATTGTGACATGTATTTGGATGGAATACGTATAAAGCTTCTTCATCAACACTTCTGTCTGGAGTGGACAGTATAAATGAGCAATATATTGGTCCTGGATTTGAACAAGAGGAGAGTGGGCAGGATTGCCCACTACAAAAAACTACAAAGCTCTTTTATGACCCCAAGCTTTCCATGGAAATAAAACCCCATCTATTTAATACCAATGATCTGCCAGCATTTATTTCTATGTGGTGGCAAGACATGGAAATATAAGTGACTGAAGAATTAAGAACGAATATCACACAGAAGGCAGTGGAGAGGTATACAGTGGGTGTGAACAGGCTGCAACATATAACCAACACAGACCTGTGAAGAAAAAAGATTTCAAGGAGATGTATGCTAGGAAGAGAAGATGGACTGGTTGTAGCGAGTAAGGGATGACAGGTGGACAACCAGAATGTTCCTCTCACTGATAGCCTTGGACTGTCAGGAGAAAGTCAAGAAAGCTTCTACCACATAGGTTGGGTCTCCTGTGATGAACAGATAGACAAGAGTTACACAATGTGGGGAGGCATGGATGGGATGGATCTGCAATGGTCGAGGCAACTTCCATATTGATGAGGTCATAGATTCGTTTGAGTATTTGAAGATTCCCTAAACAGAGATTATTATTTCCCCATTAAGCCTACTCTTCTTCCAACCACTCCCATTTGTGTTGAGGACACTGTCATTCTTCTAGTCGCCTAGGTTTGCAAACTTGGAGTTACCCATGACTGTGACTTCTTGCTCGTTCCTGAAGTCAGACCTATTCTTGATGCGACCTCCACGGCATCTCTTGTACCTCTCCGCTTCCCTCACTCAGGTTGAGATTCTCGCCTGAACTATCGTAATCACATCCTATTTTGCCTTCTTGCTTCTAGAGCTTGTTTCTGAAATGTAATCTAGTCTTCACTCAGCTGCCAAAATAGCCTTCTGTAGCTCAGGTTTGACTGTGACTCCCTTGCTCAAAACCATCCCTGCTGAGTCTAGGATAAAATACAAACTCTCTATCCCACCTACTTTTCCAGCCTCATTCCACACTCCTCACCTTTGCACATTCAGTATTCCAGCCAATGTGAAATACTAGGTGTACTCTGACTTTGACACTCTGTCTCTTGTTTTTGGGTATTCATACAAACAGGTCCCAGGCCTGGAGGACGTTCATTCAGCCTCACCTCTCAGAATTCTTCTTTCACCTCAAAGCTCAGCTCAGGTGCCCATATCTTCTATAAGGCCTTCCCTGGTTCCCCGAGGTGTTGGCCCTCTCTCCCTCTTCCATTTTTCTTGCATTTATTGGAGTATATATTTGATGAAATAACAATTCTGCACAAAACACGAACAGAACTTCTATGTGTGCATGTCTTGCTTCCCCCTCCAGTATAATTTAAACTTGTGGGAAAGGACTGTTTCCTTTTCATCTTTGAATCTCCATTTCCTGGCATGGAGCAGACATTTAATAAAAGTTTACGGAAATGTTTTGTTGACTTGACAAGCTGAAGAGAGTTCAGAGGATGGTCTGGGTGGATGGTAAGTGTTCTGGAAACCAAGCCATGGAGGAATCTCTCGAAGGAATGGGCAGATTCATCCCCGAGAAGAAAAGATGGGGGAAGGGGCAGGAAGAGGGCACGAAGAATCGAAGAGCTGTTACATGGAAGAGGGATCATATTAAGAAGATCTTAGATTTAAGAGCTGGAAGGGGCCTGAGGTCAACCCTCACTTTATGGGTGTGCCACGAACAGTGCCAAACACTTATCCCCTTTGGTCCTCACAACAACCCTGTGAAGTGGGTGTTATTATTTCTCCCATTTTACAGATGAGGAAATGGAGGCATATAGAGGGTAAGTGACTTGCCCAGGGTCACACATCTAGTAAGGGTCTGAGGCTTCATTTGAGTCAGGTCTTTGTGACTCCAGGCCCAATGCTCATTGTGGTGCCCCCTAGCGCCTGGAAACTAAGTCCGAGAGAGCTTAAGAGAGCTTGCGTCTTGGTCGAGTTTACCCAACTGGCTAGTAAGCACTTGGGGCAGGATTTAAACCAAGATGGATAGATAGAACGTTGAAATGCTTATTCTATGCCAGACACTGTGTTGAGTGCTGGGGATATAAATAAAAGCAAACAAGAGAGTAGTGCCTGCCTTCAAGGGGTCAGCATTCTAATAGATGACAGTAGACCATCCTGCCTCTTGACTTTGTCAGCAAACATTTATTAAGCCCTATCTGCTAGACACCATACTGAGGGTACAAAGAAAGGCAAAACCTACTCTTCCCTACTCTTCAAGGTGCTCATGTTCTAGGAAGGGAAACGACACGCAGAATGTCGTACATGCACAATAGAGACTGTACAAAGGGGAGGCAGTCTATAAGAGGCTGGGGCTGGGGGGTGAGGTGCGCAGAAGGTGGGATCCGAGCTGAGTCTTCAAGGAAGCCAGGGAGGTCGGGAGGCAGAGATGAGGAAGGAGAGCATGCCAGGAAGGGAAAAGGCAGGAGATGGAGGAGCATGTGTGCGAAACAGCAAAAGGACCAGCAAGTCACGTTGTTGATTTGCAGTCTATGGAGAGAGGTAAAGTGTAAGGACTTTAGAAGACAAAAGGGGATTTTATCTAATCTTGGAGTAATAAGGAGCCACGGGAGTGTGTGTGTGGCTTACGTGGTCAGATACGGCTTTAGGCAGATCACTTTGGCAGCTAGGTGGAAGATGGATTGGAGTGAGAAGAGACTTTGGGCTGTAAGCCACGGTGAAGACATGCATGAGGTGATAAGGGCTTGCAGCAGGGTGGTGGTTAAGTGAGAGAGGACTTAGAGGAGAGTTGTGAAGGCAGCAATGCAAGACTTGTGGAGAGACTGACTCTGTGAGTGCCACTGAGCTGACGAGGATGACGCTGAATTGTGAGCTCCGGGTGACCGGGAGGATGTCGGTACCCTGGGCAGTGAGAGAGAAGCTGGGAAGAGGGAACTGTTTGGGGTAGGAGGATAAGTTCAGCTTTGGACACGGAGAGCAAGGCAACTGGTGGTGCAGAACCGGAGTACGTGGGGAGAGAGCCCCGGGCTGTGTCCGGAGATCTGGGAAGTCACCTGCATAGTGACACTGATTGTGATGAGATCACCAGGAGAGGAGAGAGAAGTTAAATGCCCAGGACAGCGCTGTGGGGGGGACCCACCGTTGGTGGACACGACCTGGAGGAAGATCTAGCAAAGGGGACTGGGAGAGGAGAGCGCTCAGAAGGGGGGGGATGGTGTCAAAGACAGAAGGCTGAGCATCTGGGAAGGGCCATAGAGGGGACAATGGAGAGGGCGGGGAGCCGGACCGAGGGCGGGGAGGGCGGGGAGCCGGACGGAGGGCGGCTTCAGTGGAGTGCGGAGTGGGGGGAGGAAGGAAGGAAGGAAGGAGGGGGAGGAGGAGGAAGGCCAAATTATTGTTCGGTGCTGGGGGCGGGATTAGGAGTAACTGGTCAAAACTACAGTGAGGCCCCGGAGGGGGTCCACGGACCCCCGGGCGGCCCGGATAGATTTCCGTGAACTTGGGTGCAAAAAATACACCGTGGTGTTCACCGACCTCTAACTGAGACGTAGTTATTTCCTTTGAGTTTTAAAAAGCTACCACAGCTTTCACCACACTGCGGAGGTGGTGGTGGGGGCAGCACACAAAAAAGGTGGGTGGGAAACGGTCCGCGCCGAAAGTTAATGAGCTGTGGGAGGTGTCGTGTCCTGTTCCGGGAGGCAGGGACTGTCCTCTGGGGGCCCTTCTAACGTGGCAGGTGTTGGGGAAGTCGTCCTTCCTTTGGGACGCGCCGGGCGTGAGAATGCCAGCTCGGGGCTGCCATCGCTCCAGAAGCGCACATGACTCCCTCGCTCTCGTTCGCGCGCTCGCTCACCCTCCCTCCTTCGCCCCGCCCCTTTCCCCCCTCCCTCGCTCGCGCTCCTCCTCCCCGGCACCTCCTCCCCTCTCTCGTCGGCGCTCGCGCTCAGCATCCCTAACACTTCCTCCTTCTCCCTTGCCCCGCCCTCCCTATCTCGCTCTCGCGCCCCGCCTCCTTCTTCCGTCTCTCTCATTCGCGTCCCCCTTCCCCGGCGCTTCCGCCCTCCTTCCCTCGCCCTCGCGCCTCCTTCCCCTCTCCCAGAACTCGCGTGCTCCCTCGCGCTGTCCCTCGCCCCGCCCCCAAGCCCTGCTAGTCCTGCCCTCCCTGGCTCTGGCGCCCCCTCCCCTCCTCCTTTTACCAAACTCGCTCGCCCTCCCTCTCCCTCTCCTTTCCTCGCGCCGTCCCTCGCCCCGCCCCCTTCCCCATGCCCCTCCCTCTTTCTCCCCTCGCGCTGCCTCCCGGCCGGACCCTTCGCCTGCCCGGAGGAAGGACTACAACTTCCATGATGCTCGGGGAGGCAGGGGGCGGGCCGGCCGCGCTGGTGCTTCCGGCGGCGGCGGCGGCGGCGGCCGGGGACGGTGTGAGAGGTGGTAAGATGGCGGCGGCGGCGGTGGAGTTCCAGAGAGCCCAGTCCCTGCTCAGCACCGACCGGGAGGCCTCCATCGACATCCTGCACTCCATCGGTAAGCGCCCGGCCCTCGCCCGGCTCCGCCGCCGCTGCCGCCTCGGTGTGCGGGCCGGGGCCCGGGGCCGGGGCCGGGCCGGGGGCTCCGGGCGCCGCTGCTGACTCACGGTGTGTGAGGGGGCCGGGCTCGGCCGGGCCGGGGCACAGGCCGCGCCACCGCCGCCGCTGCCCGGAGAGAGGGAGGGACGGGCGGAGGGACGGGCGGACGGAGGCCCGGGCGTCGCCGCCGCTGCTGACTCACCCAGGGGCCCCGCCGAGGCCGCTGGCGGGACGGACCCTGGGGCGGGCGGACGGATGGACGGACGCACGCGCGCTCCCGAGGGCCTCCCCCCCGCGCGCGGCCGCCGTGACTTTGGCCGCTCCGAGGCCCCCCCCCCGAGCCCTCCAGCCCGGCCGGTCCCCGGGTGCCCCGCGATCTGGGAACGCCGCGAGGGCTGCCCCGTGCTGGAGATCAAAGGATGTGGATTAATCGTGCAACAAGTAGCCGGGCGATTGCGGAGGCTCAGCTTGGTCACCTTCCGTGGCCCGAGGACAAAGGTGCCCCGGCCTGGCGTGGGGTGCAGAGCAGGGTGCCGAGCCCCGGGCGAGGGCCGGCTCCCGAAGTCTGGGAGGGAGCTGGAGGAGTGAGTGGTGGGGCGGTGTAATACCCCCTGCCAGGGGAACCCGAGAACTGGAACACCAGGCCGACCCACCCCTTCATTTGACCAAAGAGGAAACTGAGGTCCTCGTAGGCCGAGACTTGCCCAGGGTTACATAGTAGTCAGCATCAGAGGTGGGATTGGAATCCAGGTTCTCCCAACTCATTCTCAGCTGATTTTGTGAGAAGTTTTCCGTCCCGTCTTCAAGCTGACAAGAGTAAGGCAGGCCTAGGGTCTGCAGTTTCAGATGTGTTTTTTCTTCTTTGGAGAAACTGAGCTAGAGTGTACTTAGATCTTTGTGTTTCCCTGGGCTTCATAGTATATTTTAGGAGACCTAGTTTAGCTGGGATTGCAGTGACAACACTGTACTTAGACCGGGTCCTGTGGTTCCAGTCCTAGGAAGAAGGTAAACTTGAGACCCAGGAGTGACACTCAGCTGCACTTTTTCCCGGCTCCGTCATGGTGCATCTACACTTGGTTTTGTCAAGTCATGGTAGCCTCTAAAATCAGTGATAACTAATGGGAATAGTTATTCTCTGGTTGGTAGTTTGGAAATAGTACTTTTATCAATAGCTGGACTTTTTTGTTCTGCTCTGGTAAAGAAAGCACCAAGTTGTTTTAGCACAGTCTAAATCTTCTCCAGAAAAACCTCCTTCAGTAAATGTTGTATAAATCGGACACTGAATCTTGATCAGTGCTCTACAGGCTGACTTGTTTTTGTTTTGTTTTGTTTTTTAATGAATGACTTTGTAGAACTGCTTGTATTTTTACATTACCTCTAGCTTCCCTATTACCTGGCCAGCATTTTTTATATTAAGGCTGTTGACCTTAGAGTATTAAGTATCTTGTGCATTTTGATTATAGTTTGCTGTCTGCTGAGATGTTGATTACGCTGGGCATATTTCATGGTTTTATGTTGTAGGAAATAGCTTTTTATTATCCTGCCTTGGCCAACATAAATCTGTGGCCATGGTTAAGGATAGCTGCTACAAGCTGACATTCTGATTATTGGGGAGGAGAAAAGGGACTTCCTTTTGAAACAAGAAAAGTTTGTTGTTTTTTTTTAAAACGGGTTTCCAGAGTTAAAACTTTGTATCCAACCTATTTTCATTACATAGATTGGACCTGAATTGTCTTTCAGCCTTGTTTAGAATTTACATTGTTTCAGTATTGTGATTTTAAAATTTTCACTTAATTCTGGGATAGTACATCTCATTAAGTTTTACTTTACATTGATCTGTACCTTACTTATTTTGTTAGGTAGTTAAGGGTGAAGTGAGCTAAAGCTGAGTTTGCTGAGAGTGTTGGGTCTCAGTCTTCATTCAGAATTTCAAGAGGGTTTTTCATTTTTCTCCTAGTGAAGCGTGACATTCAGGAAAATGATGAGGAGGCAGTGCAGGTCAAAGAGCAGAGCATCCTGGAACTGGGATCGCTTCTGGCCAAGACTGGACAAGCTGCAGGTAAGTGAGACAAATTCCAGTGCCTTCTCTTGGCTCAGGAAAGAATCATTGTTTACAGTCTCGTTTTTTTGTATAAATCAAGATGCATAGAAAGGTATACATAACTCAATTCTGTGGTCATATGATATGTTCTGTTTTCCCAGATAAGTTTGGGAACTCTGTGGACAATAAACTGAGGTCAGAGTTTTGTTCTGGGCAAAGTTCTTGCAGTCGTAACTGTCAAGTCACTATTTTGCCTTTGGTGTGATTCATGACTTTTTTCCAATGCCTTTACTATTCTGAGACTTCACATACTGATCTGAAGGAGTACTCAGTGATCTCAGCAAACAGCCTTGGTATGTGTATGATGGGCTTTAGGATCTTTAACCAAGACTGTAAAATAGCTGGGACTTTGCATTTCTGTGTGACTCACCATCCTTGCTGTCCAAAATGAGTAAGAATCTAGTTGGACAAAGCTTTCCTGAAACTTCTGCATTGAGACTCAGTGCTCTGTGCATGTTGCTGCTCTGAAACTACAGTTGGAGTCAGCTCATTGACTGTCAGATCCTGTACGAGGTAGAATTCTAGGTTGTTGAGAGATGCTGCAGGCACTGGTCCTGGTATGCCCTGCAGTTAAGAGAGCGGTGCTGTTGCTTCTTAGGAATGGATTTTTCTCAGACTGAAGTTTGAAAAGTCCTCTTCAGTTCTTGGTGTGGAGTTAGACAGAGTTAGCATAGCTAAATCAGGTAAATGCTGCTAACTTTAAAGGAAGCTTGTCTCTCCTTTAAAAAAAATAAGTGCAGAAAAAGTAACTTGATTAGTAATTTGCCCAGATCATAATTTGATGCTTAGAAGTTGATACCCTAAATTGGCACATTCCCTTGATTTTGATACTTTTAATGTATCAAATCAGAACAGAACTCACTTCATACAAGTGGAGTTCTGTTGGTGGCTTGATGGCAAAATAATCTACAGGGTGCATTTGTGTGAAATTTGTGTCTATTTTGTGTGTGATTTCACTATACTTATATAGTCAGTTTTCAGTTATAAGAATTGTCTGTTAGAAATTTTTAATCCTAGACCAGCTTCTATCTGCTTTTGAGCCACTTCTTGCATTCAGTTGGTTATGAGCTTTAAGAATGCAAACTGGTGCTAAGATTTGTGGAATTAAACCATAATTAAAATAATAATTTTGTGGAAAAGGCTTTTGGCTTATCTGTTTTGAGTTACTCCCATCTGTAAACTTGAATAATGAAGAATTAATGATATGAAACATACTATTGTCAAATAGTTTTCCATGAAAAAGATTGTAACTGATCCTTAAAATTTTTTGTCCCTTTTGTTCTCTCATCCATCCCACTCACTATCACTGACACTTAAGACCTGTGGAGTTGGGAAGGGTGAAAAGAATGAAGGTTGCTAGGAAGTTTGCTGTTTCTGTGGCCATAGTCTATGGTGTATTGGTGTATTCTCTTATGCCCCTAACAAAGTTATGAGTCTTCCTTCATTGATGTGTGTATGGCTAGATAGAGTCTATCTTGTTTCTTTTTATTCTAAACTCTTTGAAGATAGGAACCATATCTTTTCTGTCAGTAATTCATCAGGTACTTATGAAATCCTGTGTGTCTGCTAATATGTGAGGTACACGTAATGTGACCTATCCCATGCCTACAAAGATATTTGAGTCTATTTTGGGAGACTGGATGCATTTGTGAATCCATCAGTGAACAAGGCAGTATTTTATGTATCAGCTTTGCATAGTAGCAGCTTTGTCCCAGAAGGTAGAAGTAATGAAGAAAGCAGCTACTTTGTTTATTTATTTGTTTGTTTATTCATTCATTCATTCATTCATTTATTTAATTTTGGGCTAGGCAGTGGGGTTAAGTGACTTGCCCAGGGTCACACAGCTAATAAGTGTTATGTGTCTGAGGCCGGATTTGAGAACTCAGATCCTCCTGAATCTAGGGCTGGTGCTCTATCCACTGTGCCACCTAGCTGCCCTGAAAGCAGGTACTTTGGATTTAATTCTGACCAACAAAGTTTGGTGATCTGAGAGTGAGTGACAGGAGCCTTGGGAGAAAGTGACCAGGCCATTTTGGAGGTCAGACATGTACCCTTGGCTTCAGGGAAGTATATTTTTGAAAAGTTAAGTATCATTTCTGTTGCTAGGGAATAGAAAAAGGAACATGGCTCAAAAGGGTTGAGAGGTACTAAACCATAGTTACTGACCTTATTATCTCATTTGTCCCTGACAACACCCTAGTGAGCGGGATGCTGGGCTGTTAAGTGAATGTTAAGTGAATTGCCCCTGGTCACATAGCTCGGGTCAGAGGCATGATTCTGACCCAACTCGTTCTTGATTCCTCTTTCAGCACTGTATTACTTCTGATAGGAAGTTGGGAGAGAGAGCTATATGGCAGATGAAGGCAATCTAAACCTTTTTAGACTAGAATGTTAGTAGAATCAAACAAGATTACATTTATCCCGATTTAATTTTAAGCCCTATGTTTAGACTTAAAATAATTCAGTCAGTATGGAAAAGACTATTTAGTAGTTTGTGTGGAAAAGACATGGGGAGAGGGGAGGGTTCAGTTGACCATAGGCTTAATGGGAGCCAGCAGTGTAAGCTAGCTGCTAAAAAATGGCAGTGTAGTTTTGGGGCATATGAATAGACATTTCAGGTGTGTGAAAAGAAATTTAGCGCAAGGGAGGTTTTAGTTCCCCTGTACTCTGTGCCGGTCAGACATCTTGGAGCATTGTATCCCCTTCTGAGTATTATACTTGCAAGTGGGCCATTAAGAAACTGGAGAGTCCAGAGAGTAGTGGCCAATATAATTAGAGAGGTGTGGAAAATTGTCATATGAGGGAGGGGTCAAAGGAACTGTAACTGGGCATAGATGTGGGGGGAAAACTTCATAACTGCCTTCAGATACTTGGAGGTCAGTCACATGGAAGAACGTAGCAATTTGTTCTTAAGGGAAAACTGGACAAATTGCATAGAAGTTATAAGGAGGCAAATTTTTGGTTCAATATAAAGAACCTTCTAACAATTAAGACTGTCTAGCATTGGAATGAGAAGCTACTCTAGTGAATTCTCAGTCCCTGAAAATATTCAGACAGAGGCTGACTGTCAGGAAAGGGATTTCTATGTTGGGTGAAAGGCTGGACTGTTTTGCTTTTGAGATCCTTTCCAGTTCTAGGAGTGGGCTACTCTGTAATAAAGCACTCAGTTGTGTGGTACAGACAATAAATAACCAAAACAGAAATTAGCAAAAGGAGGTGTTTGGAGTGGTCATCAAGGAAGACTTCAGGGGAAGCAGGAACTGAGTCAGGGTCTTGAGGGCTGAGAAGTGGCCCAAGAGGTCATCAGAATTTCAGGTGGGAGGAGTGTTGTGACCAAAAGCATGAAAGCAGTAGTGGGAGAGGGGGTTTTGAGGGGACTGTTGAGGAGGCAGATCTTACTGAGAGCAGAGCAGGTTGGGCACTTGGAGAAATCAGAGTCTCATCCCTTCTTTGCAAAGTCTCTGTAGTATGTAATAAACTACAATACAGTATGTAATTGTGACACACTACTAATACAGTACTTAAATAGCTAGCATATGCTAGTTATTTAAGTCTTGGCTAACGAGGACTCCAAGGACCTAGTGGTAAGAATAGACCATGTCCCTGAACTGTGGAAGGGTAAGGTTTTTATTGATCTGAGGAGAGAAACATTAAATTGAAGACTTATCTTTTGATCTCTGATTCTTCTGGATCAAGAAGATTTGGTCTTGATTTCTGTAAATACTTGGAGATCTGTCTGAGATGAAAGACCATTATTCCTGGGGGTTTGGGCTGAACCATTTTCATAGTTTCATACTTTTTACAAGCAAAACTCTTGCTTTGACCTAATTTTTTTTTAAGGCAGTTGGGGTTACGTGACTTGCCCAGGGTCACACAGCTAGTGAGCAGCAAGTGTTTTGGTCTGAGGCCAGATTTGGACTCGGGTCCTCCTGACTTCAGGGCCTGTGCTGTATCCATTGTGCCACCTAGCTGCTCCGTGACCTATTTTTGTTTTTAAAGAAAAACTTTCCTTTGTAACTTTGATAATACTGATCATTATTTTAAAAAGGCTTATGTTCAGCAGTTTAATTATGAAGTTTTGAAAGGATGTCATAGCTCTTTAAAGACTGACAAGCAAGAAGATAACCAGGGAGAGTAGTGGTATTCCCAAAAGAGGAAGGGAATCGTGTAATTTCAGGTGTGGAAAGGATCATAGGGGCTGCCCATCCAGGCCAACCTGAAAAACTGATCCTTGCTACAATAAGGTGGTCTGGAACTGAAAACACTACCTAATAAAAGTGGGAGACTTAGAAATGACAAGCCAGCTACTTAGCTCCTTCCTTCCTCTGCCACTAGAACATTTCATTTCAAGGTTGTGGGAAGGTGACAGAAGCTCCCTAAGGTGAGATCAGGAAGAAAAGGCATGGAGAAATCGTGTCCTCAAGACTGTTTGGTATTTGTATTACATCCTGAGTGACTAACAGTTTTCTGTTTTCTGATTTGCCTTACGTACAGAGCTTGGGGGGCTCCTGAAGTATGTGCGACCCTTCTTGAACTCCATCAGCAAGGCGAAGGCAGCTCGTCTGGTCCGATCCCTGCTGGACCTCTTCCTTGACATGGAAGCAGCCACAGGGCAGGAGGTGAGTCACATTGAGTGCAGGGAATAAACAAAGAGAGAGCCGGTTTGGTTGAAGCTTTTTGCTTCAGCTGTGGTGCTGTTATAGAAGGGACAAGTGCAAGGGCAGACTCGGGCCTGATCACATCAGTTTCCCTTTGTTACAGGGTATTTGATACTTTGGGTCTGTTCCATGCTTGGCTTTGTAAGTGGAGATTGACAGTGGTCCCTAGAATCCTCATTACATCAGGGTCAAAACCAGATTCTTGTCTTTGAGGTGTTGTGTTTTGCTGTGCCTTTGTAGTGTCTTCTGCTTCTGTAGTACCTTTCATCATCTGTCACAAAGCCGCTTGGGAACACTAACTCTTGAATTGTGTCTTTTTGGAACATTTCACACCTTGGCTCTGCCTTTTACTAGGGATCAAGCATCTTTCTGTATGTGTCTACGCACGAGTGACTAGGGCATTCTTGTCCATGAAATTAGACCAAAGGCTGTAATGAAATTTGAGTTTTGGGCGTCAGTGATCTTGTTTTCAGACTTTTTCAAAGGTAACTGCCATTTTTTTTTCATTTTGAAGAGAAGGAAGTGAAAAATTACAAAGTTACAAAGTGAAAATCATGCTGCAGACAGTTGTGGATTCATTTTGGCCACTGGTTTCTTTTTGTAGAGCTGGTGCTATTGGGGTCCCTTGTGGAGGTGGAGCTGACTAGTGGTCCTGGGTTGTTTAAATAATTGAAATTAGCTCTGACCTCTGTGGTATAGGAGAGAAAGAAAAAGTCACATCAATTTATAGGGCCGTAGTTCTGTGGTGTCAATGGTGGAAGATTTGTAGAAAGCTTTGAGCCAGTGAGGTCTCATCTTGATCTCCCAACTTTTTAAAAATATCTGATTTCTTATTGTGACATCTCTAAAGTCTAGTTAACATGTCAGGTACTCAGAAAAAATTAATTCTGGAATAATTGATTGCCAAATTCAATTATATTGTTTTTGGCAGGGCCAAATTGTGTAATAAGTCAATTCATTAACATATTCTCTTAGATGTTTATTTTTTGGACATTGGTATTAAAATATGTTTGATTAATTTCAGATAAAAAATAGTGATGTTAGAAGTAATCATATTCTCATTGATTATTCTCTTTTCATTAAGTGGTATCAGTTATTTGGAATATCAGAACTTACCATGGGCTGATGGACTGATAAATGCAATGTTAATTTGGAACTCTGCACAGCAGAATTACAGAAACTGATGTGAGGTTTTTTGCCATTGCTGTCTTTCCTTAGAATCTTTGATAGTCTCTTAACATTGAGCTGACTCATTGGAAGGGGTCGCAGTTATTGAATGAGCTATAAGATTTCCTCTAATGCCAGTTTTGGGGGCAGATTTCTTACCAGAGTTATAACTTGGTCTTTTCCTGTGTAATGCATTCATTCATTTATTTAGTCAGCCAGCAGGCATTTATTAAGCACCTGCTATGTGCCAGGCACCGTATGAAGCGCTGGGGTTACAAAGAAAGGCAAAGACCAGTCCCGGCCCTCGAGGAGCTCACAATCTAATGGAGGAAAAAAACTAAACAACTACAGACAAGATATATACAGGGTAGATTGGGTGTAGTCTCAGGGGGAAGGCACAAAGAGTGAAGACTGGGGAAAATTGCTTGCAGAAAGTGAGACCTCAGGTGAAACTTGAAGGAGATGATGAGGAAGGAATGCATTCCAGGTGTGGAGGACAGTCTGTGAAAATGCTTGGAGGTGGGAGATGAAGGCGTATCATGTGTGAGAAACAGGGAGGCCAGCCTGAGCGGAGAGTGTGCAGACGGATGTAAGGTGTGAGAAAACAAAAGGGAGTAAGGGCCCAGGTTGTAAAGGAGAAGTTTGGTTTTGATCTTGAAGGTGGTAGGGAGCCATTGGAGTTTATTAAATGGAAAAGTAACAGAGTCAGACTTGTGCTTTAGGAAGATCAGTTTGACAGCTAAATGACCACTGGAGTGGGGAGAGACTTATGGAGGGCAGACCAACCAGCAGGCTGTTTTGACAGTCTTTGTGTGAGGTGATGAGGGCCTGTACCAGGGTAATAACAATGTCAGAGGAGACAAGGGGGCACATACAAGAGATATTGGGAAGCTAGAATTGTTAGGATTTGGCAGCTGTTTGGATATAGGAATGGAGTGAGAGAGAAAGAAGAGTTGAAGATGACAAACACCTAGGTTATGAACCTTAATGACCGGGAGGATGGCTGTTCTCTTGACAGTAATAGTGAAATTAGGAAGAAGAGAGGGTTTAGGGCAGGGATGAGGACCCTGCAACCTCAAAGCCACATGTGGCCCTCAAGGTCCTCAAGTGTGGCCCTTTGACTGAATCTAAACTTCACAGAACAAATCCCCTTAATGAAAGGATTTGTTCTGTAAAACTTGGACTCGATCAAACCATAAAACCTAATCAAACTTTGGGTGGCCACATCCAAGGACCTGACCTGCAAGGCCACATGTTGCCTTGAGGTGACAGGTTCCCTACCCCTGATTTAGGGGAAAGAATAGCAGTTGTTTTGCACATGGTGAGTTTAAGATGTCTACGGGCTTAAAGTTCAGGATGTTTGATAGGCAGTTGGAGATGTAATACTAGATGTCAGTGAGAATCATCTGCATGGAGATGATAATTGAATCCCTAGGAGCTTATGAGATCATCATGTGAAATAGTATAGGTGTAGAAGAAGGTCCAGGACAGAGGTTTGGGGGACATCCACCATTAGTGGGTACAACCTGCCTGAAGATCCAGCAAGCAAAAGGAGATTGAGCAAGAGCAGTCAGATAGGTAGGAGGAGAGAGCAGAGAGGGTCCAAGAGAAGGGAATGATCAGCTTTGTCATAGACTCCAGAAAAGAAGGATGAAGATTGAGAAAATGCCATTAGATTGAAAAATTAAGAGATCATTAGTAACTTTGGAAAGACCAGTTACCATTGAATTATGAAGTTGGAAGCCAGATTGCAGAGTTAAGAGAGTGACAAGCACCTATTACAGATGGTCTTCTCAAGGACTTTAGCTACAAAAGGAAGGAGATACATGGGATGATAGTCATTGGAGACAGATGGATCAAATGAGAATTGGTTTTCTTTTTGTATGGGCTGGGGGAGACATGGGCATATTTGTAAGCAGTAGGGAAGCAGCCAATAGACAGGAACAGGTTAAAGATTGAGAAGACAGGACGGAATGGAATCACTTGTGCATGCATCACTCGGTCTTCATGTGAAATGGGGGTGAAAGAGAAGGTGGTGGCATCTGAGTGATGTGAGCTGAGGAGGAAGAGGGGAGAAGCTAAGGGTCTCAGTTTTGCCAGTGAACTATGAGACAGGGTGTTCAGCTGAGAATATGTGTGGGAGCTATGGAAGTTTGAGGAGGGATGAAGAGGTTTGGAAGAGAGAAAGTGTTTTGATTAGGGACATATAAAAGGATTGCCTTGCTGTAGTGTGGGTCCAGTTGAGATTACATAGCATAATTTGTACTGGATCTACTCAGCACAATTTCCTAATTTTCTCTGGCTTCATTGGGTAGCATGTGAATTCATGAGCAAAGACTGGGTAGTGGTGGGAGTAATCCAAGTGTGGGGTTTGGCAGGGCAAGATCTTCAGTAGGATCAAGGGGCCAGGAGCTTGAGAGAGTTGAACTGGGTCACCAGAGAGTCAGCATTGGGAGAGAAGGACAGCGTAGGGGTGATGGCTTGGGAAAGAACTAAGAAGTGAAGGGATTGGAGGTTGAATGTTTGGAGGATGAAGAGAAGTTAGAAGTTGCAAGGCAGAGGGAAAAGTGGAATGACAACAGATGATGAGGAGATAAAAGCATTTCAGAGTTCATGAATGTGAAAGTGGACTGCTTATGGGTGATCAAGGGTCTCACTGGCCATCTTTTTGTGTAGCTGAGGTGGGAGGAGGAGCAGGTCATGGGAAATGAGTAAGCTGAAGAATTGGGAGGTTAGGGGGGTTTGAGGGAGTCTCTGTGTATATGTTGATCTCCCCTTGTTTTAGGGCAGGAGTGGGAGTGTAACTTAGGTTTGCTGAATCAATACGCCTTCCATTTTGGTAGTCTTTTGGGGTGGTGATTTTAGAAATTCAGAGTTGTGCAGCTTCTGAAAAATTCTTCAAGCATTTATCACTTTAAGGCAGTGGCCAGCAGGGACCCCTGATAAAGACCTGTAACTGTTTGATTGATCTCATCTTGCTGGGAGAGTACTGTGGTATTGAATACTTTTAAACTGTCACTGTTATTTGCTAAGTTTAGTCTTTTGTCTGTGACCTAATGGCCAATAAGCAGGCTGATGGAACAAGGACATATTTTTTAGAGTTTCTCTCCTTCTAGTGGTTCTTCAGGAATCCCCCAGTACAATGAGAAATTTTTATTGGATAAGGCTAGCCTCTCTGCTGAGTTCTTTCCTCTCTATATGTCTGGGGCTGTAACGATGGTTCCCAGTTAGGAGTCATGATACGCTATACAGAACCACAGTGCTGAATGGTTTTGTTCCTTGTGCTGGCATAAATTTGAAAAAGTTGATGGTAACAGTAAGGGCCAGCAGCAAAACCATTGACCCTCTGATTTTGGTCCTGTTTCTGTCTGCAGTTTAAGAATCTTTGTGTTTATGATAAGATCCAAGGACCTCTGCTTTCTTCTCCTGGTCCTAAAGCTCATTCTGCATACTGAGTATTGTCTTTCCTGTGTCTAGATTCCTATAGGTTCAGCTGCAGTAGTTCTTTAAATGTCAAAATTTAGATCAAATATCTGCTTCTTAGATATTGGTTAAAAATTACTTACCCTCCCACATTGCCTCAGTGTTCCTTCTTTTGCAGGGTCCCTTCTTTACCTGGGTAATTAATGCAACAGGAAACACAGGTGACTTAAATAAAACTTGGAAAACCTTTTTTGGTTGTAAGCTTATTAGAAATTTTGTTCAGTGTATTTAATAAACAGCTAAGTTTGATATGTCCACAAGAGTGCCCATGAATTGGCTAGTTGTTCTGCCCAGAATCTGAAAGGGAAATTGCCCAGCTGGGCCTTTTGAGTCTTAGAAGCAGCTGTTGGAAACAAAAGCATTTATGTTGGAACTGTGACTCTCTGCTCTTTACTCTCACAGTGTGCGGACATTTGGAGGAGAACATTGTTACTTTAGATCTTCATTGCAAATTTACAATGACTTGCTAATTCTGGGAAGGTTCTTCAGAACCACCTCAAGACTGTTTCCTCCTCATCTTGCTAAAGGGACCTCAGCAGTAGGGGGAGACCAAGTGAATGGTGTGCTGCTGGAGCTGTCCATTTCCCAAAAGACTACTATTTAGCCAAAAGGACTTTTAATATTTCGAAAACAAAAACAGCATAGTAAGGCCCCGTTTTAACACAGCTTGTCACACAGCTTGGGATAGTCTGCAGACTAAATATAACTATGTGGAGCAAAAATCTGGGACCAGGACGAGAAGGCCTATAGCACTGTGTAGTGTTGGTATTTACTCCTACCCCTCCAACTAGTGTTACAAGTCGGTACTCTGTGATGGGACTGGAAGGATTTAGGTTATCGCATGTATTTTCTCTTCCCACTATAGGTGGAACTATGCTTAGAGTGCATTGAGTGGGCCAAATCTGAGAAGAGGACTTTTTTACGTCAGGCTCTGGAGGTATGTGCCCAGTGGATATGACATAGGCCTCAAATATCTCATATCTTTGCTGAATATACAAAAGAAATTTACCTTCTTTTAACAACCCAGATCTCCTGTGTTTGGCAGAGTTGTAGATTGTATCAGGGTGCTCCATTGTGAGAAGTGCCTAAATGATTAACTTGATTAGGCATGGCTCTTGGAATTAGCAGGACAAAGAAAGATTTTGCCTTTCCTGCTTAGAAGTTCCGGAAGTCCAATTCCAGCATTGAAGCAGATGCACTGCGGGCCTAGATTTGGTGGTCCTGCAGTGGCCTCATCAGTCAGCTAGCCATCCTGTACATTCTGAGCTGCTGCTGTCGATCACATCACTTCTTAGGTTGGAATTAGTGTCACCAGCAGGAATTACATACTCATCATTAGCAGCTTGGCGACTCTTAATCTCTGGTTCCTTTCTCCAGCTTTTCCCTCCCTCATATCAGTCACATTTTTCTTTTCTAGGCAAGGCTGGTGTCTTTGTACTTTGATACCAAGAGGTACCAAGAAGCATTACAGTTGGGTAAGTGATCTTGTGGAAAGCAATAGGCCTTTATGATAGTACAAAGTTCAACATGTGGTGACTCTTCCAGGAAGTTTGAAGAGACACCCTTGACTTAACCTTCTTAATTTAGGGATCTCAATGATAAGCATCCTAATTAATCCAAATTTAGAGAAGCAAAGGATGATTCTATTGTAAAAATTGAATTTTACTGAATTTTTTTTTTTTTACTAAATCTTTAATTTGCACATTGTCATCATCTCTGAGTCTAAAGTTGTAGGTGCTGTGCTGGGGATTGTAATAACGACGCCTCTCTTCACATTTGTTTTTAAAAAGTTCCACTTAGCTGGGGGCAAGAAACCAACAAGTTGATGAGGACCAGGTTAAGTGAATCTTTGCTCATTCCCTCACGTGGAGCTCCTGCCTTCCTTGTGCAGTCAGTTACTGCTGAATCCATGGAGCCTTCATGCACTCTGAGCTTTAGCATTGCATGCTTATGGTTCTGGGCTGTTTTGAGGTGTGTGACTTCTCACTGGAGAGGCAGTGGTGATGGTAGTGGAAAGATTGTTGGGTTTGAGATCAGATGACTCAGGTTTGGATAATACCTCTGCCATTTATGGTTTGTATAACCTTGAGCAAGTCACTTAATAACTTCTCTGGGCATTAGGTTCCTCAACTATAAAGTGAGTGGTTGGATGAAATGGCCTTTCAGATCCTTTTCAGCTCTAGAGCTATGATCCTATAATCCAGATAGAAAAGAATGTTTTCCGTAATTCAGTGGCCTCTTGCAAAGTCAGGTGGGAGTAGCTGTTCTGGAATTATATTTGTGGGTTTACAAAAAGTTAGTCTGAATGATGGTCAGGGAAAATGAACCAGGGGAACTGGGTAGCTAGAGAGCTTCTGTGATTGTGGGGAGACAAGACTGGTTGTGATGTCTCCTTGTTTCTGTGTCAGTATGGCCTAATTAACACTGATGGCCTGGTTAACTGACTGAGAATTAGAGCAAAGAAACACTTTGGCCAGGCAGTGTCATGTAAAGTGATTTACTGCTTACCATCTGGAGAGCCAGCAAACTGCACCTCAGGGAGGCTCCCAGTGACTCCTGATTTCATGGCAGACCATGGAGTCCTTGCCAACCCTCACTCTGGTGTTGTAGGCTCACAGCTACTACATTCAGGTTTGCAAAGCACTTTACTTATATTTTTTCATTTGATCTTCACAACAACTCTAAAAGGTAGGTGCCATTGTCCCTTTTCAACAGATGAGGAAACAGGCTGAGAAAGCTTAAGTGACTTGCCCAGAATCAAATAGCTAGTAAGTGTTTGAAACAAAATTTTTAACTTGGCCATTCCTCTTTTCAAGTCCAGTACAGTTTCCACTGTGTTACCTAGTTGGTGTTTCCATGTACATCACATGCTTCTTTCTTCTTAACTAATTTTGAATATTGCTTTGTTACTTCCATAGCTATTCATGCCAAAAGGTTTCAGGCTCCAGATTTGCCTGTTGGGATTTGGTTCCCTTCTTTTAAATGGAGAGGAAGGTTCCTTTGGAGGGACACCAAATACCTGGAGAAACTCCCTGTCTCCTCAGCCTTTGGGTCTACTGTTTTCTCCTGTAGTCTGAGAAAGCTAGACAGGTGAGGTCAGGTGACAGGTGAGGTCAGGGGGCCCTGGTCTTTAGATGTGGGCATTCCTGCTATCTTTAAGTCCTAGAATGGGCCTGTTTGTGAGTTCATGTTATCTTTAGAAAATACAGAGCGCACAGGTACATTATGGACTGAATCCCTCATGTCAGCTAAAAATCTCCTTATATACCTCTTCTTGGTTATAGACCTAATACCTCCGCTTTGAGGTCCAGGCAAGACCTCATCTTAATCCATTTTGTTTTCCCTGCAGCCCTGAAGGCAGTTCCATGCATGTACTAAGTATTCAATCACTAACATTTATTAAGTGCCTCCTGTGTGCTAGGCCCTGTGCTGAGGAGACATAGGGATTTAAAAGGGGCCTGTCAGGTGAGAGATGTTCTGAGCTCAGCCCTCCCCTTAAATGGAGATCTGGAGGCCAAAGCCCCACCCTCCTAGCTGAAAAGCTGAGGAAGGTGATGAGGTAGAGTTCCAGGGCCCTTCAGTTTTGAAGGATGATGAGGTTTTCCTAATGAGCTTTCTGGGGACTGGGGGAGAAGTAGAGAAGGCCCAGAGTAGTGACCACAACAATGAATGAAGGGTTGCGGTGTGGAACATTTGGTGTTTGGATCCCCTACTCCTTAGAGGCCTGTGCCTAAAGGAGAAATTTCTTTGGGAGGAAGAGGGCAGCACTTAATCAGTACTTAACATGTGATGGTTTGAAAGGAATCTAATAGAGGGATTATGCATCTTTTACTCGCTAGGCTCTCAGTTGCTGAGAGAGTTAAAGAAGATGGATGACAAGGCCCTTTTGGTGGAAGTGCAGCTCTTGGAGAGTAAAACATACCATGCCCTGAGCAACCTTCCCAAAGCGCGAGCTGCCTTAACGTCTGCTCGAACCACAGCAAATGCCATCTACTGTCCTCCTAAGTTGCAGGCTACCCTGGACATGCAGTCAGGTAACAGCCTCTTACCTACCTTGGGGAACCGTTGTCTTGGATTTTCAATGATACAGCTCTTTTTGATGTGTTCTCACTCTTTCCATGGTGGGCAAAAGGAACTCTTTACCATCCTGCCTTGTCCTCTGACTTTGTTTTACTATTCATTGGTATTAGTCTTTGTGGAAGGTGGAGAAAGAGGGACTATTATTTGAGGATCACTGGCACTTCACAGTTCGGTTCAAGTAGAAAAAAAAAACATTCATTTAGCACTTACTGTGTTCGGAACATACCATTTCCCCCTTCCTAACTAGCTGCTTCCTGGGCTCCTGACACCTCCTCATACCTAACCAATGTAGAATGAGTGCTCATATGTGATCAGCCAAGGAACTTGACATTTAGGGGAAGAAACTAGAAGGTGGATTCCAGAACTGTAGCTTTGGTTCAACTTTTGACTCATCCAAGATTAAAACAAATTCCTAATCTCTCTCATTTTTAATTCTTTGTTTGGTTGCTGGAATAGTAGCATCCCTATCCCAGGATCATCAGACTCAGATCAATTATCATTTTGAGGGCCTTTTGGAAGATGCCTTTTGCCCAGTGCATGTCTAGGGCCTGGTACCTTGTTGTACCAAACCAAAGAACTCAAGATGGCAGTCACTAGCCTGGAGCAGCAGCCAGACTGGGGGAGGGGGAAGTGCTCAGAGATCTGGGGTGGGTGGTGGCGTGACCACCTGGAGGCGAGCAGATCACCCGGGGATGTCGCCTTGCTGGGCTAGCATCGGTGTTGTGTCAGCCATCCGGTTGTCTAACATTGTCTGTAGAGTAAAATAAAAGAAGCATCATCAGAGACGCCGAAGGCTAGCCAAGGGTCACAGTGGGCCTGTAATTTCTCTCCACTTTGCCCCGTGTTTATCAATGACTTGAAAAAAGTCATGTTTACCTGTTCTGAAAGCCATATTCTACATTTTTAACTAAATTTGACTCAACGTTTAAAATTTACCAGCTTGTTTCCTATATGACTTCTTTTTAGACCTCCTCTCTTTTCTAGTCCTTGGCAGTGAGGGTGAGGCAGTACCAGTTTGTCCAGCTGATGGAGTTTTTATTGTAGGATACTGGGGAGAAGCTGAGTGAGCTCCTTGTGATTTGAATCTCTCTTTATGCCTAGGTATCATCCATGCAGCAGAAGAGAAGGACTGGAAAACAGCATACTCTTATTTCTATGAGGCATTTGAAGGCTATGACTCCATTGACAGCCCCAAGGCCATCACAGCACTGAAGTACATGCTGCTTTGCAAAATCATGCTCAACACGTAGGTACCTGAGCGGAAGGGACGTGGGAAGGGGCTGCAGGAGGGAATGGGGGGGACGGCAGGGCAAGAGAAGCAGGGTTAACGTGCCCTCAGCGGCCTCTGTTATTGCTTAGTCCATGCCTGCCTAGTGGTAGGCGTCCGAAACTGTTACCCAAACCTGTACTGCAGTTTTTCTCACATGGTGGATGGCTTGCCCTAAGAGGCAGCTGAGCATTGGATAAGGGATAGCACTGAAGATTGAGTCTGATGGCTTGAGTTCAAGCACTCATTCTCCCCTACTGTGAGCCTCAGATTCCTCCTAAGTAAAATGAGAGAGGCTGGTCTAGATCAAACTTTTGTAATCTCAGGAGTCCTTTACACTGGTAAAAATTATTGAGGATCTTCCCCTAAAGAGTTTTGTGTATGTGAGATATCTATAGATATTCACCATATTAGAAATTAAACGTGTTTGTATTATGAAAATACTTTTGACCTCATGAACTCCCTGAAAGGGTCTTGGGTTTAGAGGTCTTCCAACCACACTTTGAAAACGACTGGTGTAGATGATCTTCAGGGACTGTTCCACCTCTGAATTCTGTAATACTTATCTAGGGCCAGCTCAGTTGGGCTGTTTTCCAGAGGTTGTGGCCTCACACCACATGGAATGGAGATAAGGAGAATATGTAGTAGAGAACAAAGTATGATAGCTGGTTAAATAATGTTACGAAAAAGCTCCAAGAGACTACCCAGATGCTTTGCTCTACTGAAATTTAATTTTTTTTTTTAACATTGAAATAGCCATTATTGGGGCAGCTAGGTGGCGCAGTGGATAGAGCACCGGCCCTGAAGTCAGGAGGACCTGAGTTCAAATCCGGCCTCAGACCAAACACTTGACACTTACTAGCTGTGTGACCCTGGGCAAGTCATTTAACCCCAGTTGCCTAAAAAAGCAAAAAAAAGAAAAAGAAAGAAAAAAGAAATAGCCATTATCATTTGGGACTAAATACTTCATTTTATAGGATTTTGATGTAATCGGATTCTACCTGTGTCTTACTTTTGTTTTTTCCAAAGCTGCTTTCTTTGTAACAGTGCAGTGAGAAGTAGTCATAAAAATCTAGGGGCTCATTTGCATTTGTAATGAACAAATTGGATTGAGAGTCTAGGGCTGGCTCTGTTCTGGAGTCTAGTCTCACATCTAGGGCTCAGGGAGAACCACGGCTCAGACAGGATTGACAGGCGAGTGACCCACTGAAAGGGCGTCTCTTTTTTTCCTCCAGGCCGGAAGATGTCCAAGCCTTAGTGAGTGGGAAGCTTGCACTGCGGTATGCAGGGAGGCAGGTAGGAAAGACCTTTTGTGTTCTGGGCGAGCCCGCTGCAAGGTGCGGAGCTCAGCTAACCCCGTCCTCAGTTGGGAAGGCTGGAAAATGTGGTTGGTGCCATGTTCTCTCGTTCGCTCAGCAACTCCTTCCTTCCCTACCAATCTCAAGTCATTATGACTTTTCCTTCAGTTCTTGTCCAGAGTCTGATGTTCTTAAGAGTGTGGCCCTGATCTGTTGTGATTGTAAGTTTGAGTAAATAACAGGCACATGTAAGATGAACATTGATGCCAGGCCAGTCACCATTACCCGACTCTAGCCTTTAGCCTGGATGGCCTGGTCGTAGTATCTCTGTGTTCAGCCTGTGAAATTGTGGGTGACCCCAGAGTGATCCAGCGTGCCGTAGAGCCCTCACGCATGCTGCTCTGATCCCATGACTCGGTGCATTAGGGTTACTGTGTGTGCATCCCCTTAGAAATAATGCTGCTGCCGCCTCCGCTTGGGGAGCTGTCAGTACAACTTAGTCTGTACCTTTTTGCTGGGTGTGGTTAAAAAAAGAGGGGTGACACATGCTCTTGTTTAAGGTAGCTTAATGCCGGAGTAGGTATGAATCATTTTCTTGGAAAGGTAGTATCTTGGTTTCTGTTAAAATTGCGCTCTAAGGTCTGCTTCTGTGCCTCCCCATCCCCCCCACTTCCATCTCCTTTGATTCGAGCAAGCCTCTGTCCTTTTGGGTTCCAAAGACAACTGGGACAGCTGAAGGTGATCTGTTGTAGTGAGCACTTAGCTCTCTAGGGAAGCGACGATACCGATACCGTAAGAAAGAACTTTCCCTCTTCTTCACATAGAACCTTAATTGACTTTACTTCGAGAGGCGCTTCCAATGTCAGCCACAACTGCACTCTTTATTATAGTGGTGAAAGCCTCACCACGCTTACTATTTATTGGCAGTAAACCACAGAGATTCAGTGTAATGGACTGGGCATGTCCTCTTCGGTTTCTCCACCTCTCCTTCTCTCCCTTTCTCCTCTCATACACACACCCACACTCATAAGAGATGGGCAGAGATTGATAGAGTGAGCTTCTTGGTGGGTCAGGGGCTTCAAGGCAAAAAATATCTTGAGTCATTTTTAACCTTTTCATGAAAAGTAGCTTCTCCTTTCTTGTGTATTAGCTTTCCACTGAGAATTAATACTTTCTGACTTGCCTTATGGGTGGGTAGGTAGGTAGTTGCCTTTAACACCTAACAGCCTTTTAAGATTTCCTATAACAAGAATGTTATGCTGTTACAGGTAACATAATATTCACTTGTTAGCACTGGACCTTGTTCATAGTGGATCTCTTAGTTGTGACAGCTCACCCTAAGTCCGCCTCCCAGTACCTTCTCTAGCAAGTAGGATAGTACCAGTAATGTTCCTGGCCTTGGACCAAACCCAGAATTCACTCTGTCCCCAAGAGAATATGTGGTGTAAATCTAGAAGGCACATGCAGAATAAGGACAGTCTTTGGGGAGCAGCCTGACCTCTCAGTCTCTGGGGATGGTCTTTGGTTGATTGGAGAATAAACTGCTAACTCTGCTAAAAGAATCGTTCCTATTTTTAGCTCTACCTATGCGGGCCTGCCATTTGTGTTCTTAATTATGCTGAGGTCAGTGTCAAGTTTCTCTTATTATGCCCAGGTGAAGAAAGCCAGATTGAATGTTCTGTCTTTGTAGTCAAAATTTGTATGGAAATCACACTGCCAGAAAGAAATAGAAGGGGAAAACCCAAGACGTTTGTGTTTGGATGAGTGTGTGAGTGTGCAAAAAGATCACCTCGGCTCTTTCCTCCTTGTTTGCAGACAGAGGCATTAAAATGTGTGGCTCAGGCTAGCAAGAATCGATCGCTGGCAGACTTTGAAAAGGTGAGCCCATGGGTAGTACCAGACTGGGTTACGAGGTGGGCATGGACTTGAATAGCTAGGAGGCACAGTGGGTAGAGTGCTGGCCTTGGAGTCAGGAGGACCTGAGTTCAAATCCTACCTCAGATACTTACTAGCTGTGTGACCCTGGGGAAGTGTTTGCCTCAGTTTCTTCATCTGTAAAATGGCTGGAGAAGGAAATGGCAGAACTGCTCTACCATCTTTGCCAAGAAAACTTCATGGGGTCACGAAGAGTCGGACATGACTGAAAAATAACAAAATGGACTTGAAAGATTGCAGCAGAAAAGAAGATCAGACTGTCATTTGATAATTATGGATCAACTGGCATCTGCTTCTAGGTTTGCTCTCCTGAAACAAATCTGGATGACACCCTTATGGTGCCAATACATTTTCTGAATCCAGAATTTATAATTTCTCTTGCTCAGAGCGATTAGTGATTTAAATGGAAGCGATTTGCATTTTTTTCCTAAATAATAAATGCTCAAAGTATTTTTCTTAGAAGAAATTAAGTTTTGCTGTGAAAAATCTCTTGGAACAAAGGATGTCTCAGGCATAAGCTAAGCCTTCCTGCTCTGCTTCCTTTGGCCTCAGTAATTACGTTCATCACTTCATGTGACCCCTTGTTAGGCCTCGTACCTCCAGAAAGTGTTTGGCCCATTCCTTGTATGGATAAAAGAAGAAATATTGATGTTTGAACATGGGCAGAAAGAAGCTGTGGGCCTCAGAATGAATGCCAGTGCATCTGTATACGCATTACATAGCACGGCGTGGAGAGGCAGCCTCTGAGCACAAGGGCCTGGTCTCCAGACCCCACACGCTGGAGCACTGGCTGTGTGACCCTGGCCAAGCACCTGACTGCTAGTGCTCCAGGAAGGGGCTGGCTCACCTGTATTGGTGGAGGACGTTTCCTCTCCTTGGAGTTCTTTGTGCCAGGGCGGTCAGGCTCAGACGCTTAGCCCTATCCACATGAGGTGGTATTATGTACAAGAGCTTCCCGTGTCATAAGCAACTGCCATTATTGGCCTTGAAAAGTTGGCCGAGACCCATGAGCTCATTTCCCTTTGATTTAAGCACTTACTGTTTGCTGGGCACTGTGCTGTGTCCTGGGAATACAAAGACAAAAATGAACCAATCCTTGTCCTCAGGGGACTTACATTCTATTGGAGTGGGGAGACGTCATGTCCATACTAAGTATATACACCAGTACAAGAGAATTTGTTGGGAGGCCCGCACCCAGCCTTTCTGAAGGGCTGTCCCCCATGGTCGTTGTCTTTGGACTGTGCGGAGGTGACTTTACGCCCCACGGGATGAGCAGTGGTGATGACCTTTCCCATTCTTTGTTGATGTTTTTCTCCTGTAGGCACTGACAGATTACCGGGTAGAACTCCGGGATGACCCTATTATCAACACTCACCTGGCCAAGCTGTATGATAACTTATTGGAACAGAATCTGATCCGTGTGATTGAACCCTTTTCCAGAGTCCAGGTAAAACTCTCCTAAGGACAGCAGGCAGCTGAGGGCTCCGGGTGGGCAGAAGGCATGTGGGGTCAGATGGCATGGAGGGCAGGCCTGGATAGCTCAGTCTCCAGCTGCTCCCAGGGCTCACAGACTCTCTGAGCCACTGATGATAGCTTTTGGACTTGTACTGATTGGCATACCTTCTGAAGGGACTCTGATGGTTAAGGGAAGTCACTGACTGTAGCACTTGAAGAAAAAGAGGATGGGAAAGGGTGATGTGTGATCAGACTGCTACAGAGAGATAGAGAGGCTTCTGAGGATTCAGTTAGACATGATGCCATGGCTGGCTGGATATTTGAGTATTTGGGAGGTGACATCCTTGTTTCTTAAGAGCTATAGTCTTCATTGCTACCTTTTGTTTAGCACTCGCTGTGCAGTGTGAGGGCGAAATGTTTCCTGTTTATATTTTAGAGGGAGACCTACACGTGCACATGAACAGTTGCAGTGCCCAAGGCCTTCCTTTCCTTGTTCTGAAGTGAGGATAGTTTTACCTGTCTGGGGGCTCCTCTCCCATTTAGTCAGTCAATCACAAGCCCAGAAGATAAAGGAGGCCTGAGTTGTTCTAGAACAATCCTAGGACAATACAATTCTGTCGTGTTCATGGAGGATGAAAAAAAATAAGAGCTGTAGAGAGACAGACTGAATCAGTACTGTCCAGTTTCTTCCTTCATCTCCCTTTCCTGCCTTATTCTTTTGGTTGAAGGCACACATTTCTTCTTAACTGTTGCTGCCTTTGCCTTTCCTTTTAGATTGAACATATATCCAGTCTCATCAAACTCTCTAAGGTAAGTTAGTTACGTGGAGTCCTTGTGAAGCTCCGTGGGAGAGGGGCTGTGGAGTGGGAGGGGAATGTGCCATGTGTGCCTGCTCGGTCCTTCCCTAGACGAAGACGGCTTCTCTGTGCTTTTGCTGAGGCCTGGAATTGGCTTTGGCCCTTTCCATTAGTTCTGATATACAAACCTGGGCTTTCTGGTTAGTGTCTGGAGACTCGTCTCCTTAATCCTGTGCTTCGATTTTAGGCCGACGTGGAAAGGAAACTGTCACAGATGATTCTTGACAAGAAATTTCATGGTGAGTGAGTGAATAGTTAGTTGGGAAAAAGGGGATGGAAAGGAATTGAAGGAAGCACGCTGTGTGATCTGTCGGTCCCCAGATTGTTCCTGTCTCTGTGTCCGGGCCCTGCTCTGCCCTGGTACCCTGCAGCCCAGCCTGCGATCCTCACTTGAGGACTCTTGCTACTTAGAAATGAGGCTAGGGCACTTCTCAGAGTAATAATAGCAGCTAACATTTATAAAGTGCTTTACAGTTTCAAAAGCCCTTTATTTCTATAATGGTACTTCATTTGGTCCTCACAACAGCCTTGTGAGGTAGGGGCTGTTATTACTCAGCAAGTTTTCCCTGTGCTTTTCTGAGGTGGAGAGATATAGATTTAGCTGTCTAAGTTGAAGAGGAATTTGGCATAAAAAGCCAGCCCTCTAGTTCAGCCCCTCCATTGATGTGCCCCAGCATCACCTGCAGTCCTTGGTGAGGCAGCCTGGTTTAGTAGAGGGCTGGCCTTGAAGCCAGGAAGAGCTGGGTTCAAGTCCAGACTCTGAGCTGTGTAGGCTCTGTGACTCGGGGCGAGTCACTTCCAGTCTCCCTGGGGGCAACTCTTATGAGATTATACATGATAGAAATGGTGCTGACCTGCACTGATAAGGGGAGTTCCCTGTACCAGTGCAGTCATGAGGCATAGTCTGTAAAGAGTGGAGAGTGCCGGCGTCCAAGCTTTTGTGAAGAAAAGATATGAGAGAAGTAGAAGTGGCCAATAAGTGCACAGTCCTAAGATGTTTTACAACCTGAACATTCAAGAATGGGTCACGTTAATTTGTACATCAGTAAAGATTCAGCAAAGGGGAGGGTTTGTGGTATGATCTCGGAGCACATTGTCCCACAGATTTTTTGACAAGGCCATGGTTAGTTTCAGTATTGTTTTGAATAGACTGTAGTGTTTGACTCAATACTCCCATTTTTTACTGATTTCATGAGACACCGAATGTGTGTGCGTGTGCGCGCTTGATTAGTAAATTCATCAGGAAGGCCAGTGTGAATAGGATATATATGTGTGTGTGTGTGTGTGTGTGTGTGTGTGTCTCTCCCCATTTCTGGAGAAAGGAGAGGTGATTAATCTGCTGATGTGGAAATTCCCCATAACGGGCCATGGTTTTTATGTTAGATGCCCTTGTTGTCTTTCCCACAGGGATCCTGGACCAGGGGGAGGGAGTCCTGATTATTTTTGATGAACCTCCAGTAGATAAAACGTACGAAGCTGCTCTGGAGACGATTCAGAATATGAGTAAAGTAGTGGATTCGCTCTACAACAAAGCCAAGAAGCTGACCTAGGTGAGTGCAGGCTCCGGGACCAGGGCTAGCGACAGCGTGCTGTCTTCTGCCTGGCGAGACGAAACGCCTCCTCCTTGTGCCCCTGCGGCTTCCCCGATTGACACTGCTCTGTCTTCTCTTGCAGAGTTGGATTTGGTAGCTGTCGTTTGGAGAGTGTGTGTGGCAGGAGAGTGAAACCTTTGGGGAAAATGCTAGGAGATTTTTTTTCTTTTTGTTCTACTTTTCGCTCGGAAAGTTTTTAAATTTCCTCATTCGGTGCATCTGTATTCCAGCCGATAGGTGTGCCAGTTTCCATGTAATCTTTACTGGCCCAACTTGGGAGTGGGGAATATTGTTTAAAAAAAAAAAAAGAAAAAAAAGAGGTTATTCTAAATAAAAAGAAAAAGGCTTACACTACCTAATAGCTGTGCTCTCTGCCTCCTGGGAGAGGGCCACAAAGGCGGGCATCATGGCCGACCACCAGGGTGCAGGCTCCATCCGCCGGGCTGTCTCTCTCCTCCTCTTGTCAATTGGATATTTGCTGACCGTCCAAAGCAGCCAACTTTATATTCTGTTTGTACTGAACCAAAACAAACGACGGTGTGTGTAGACTGCTCTTTTCTTTTCTATTGGAAATGAGGCATCTCAGTGTTCTTTCCCCTGCCGTGCTTCGCCCCCTCCCCTCGGTCCCCCAAGAACGTGGCTCCAGCATCCGGGCCTGAAGGGCCTGGCAGCTCCAGTTTTTGGGGCCTGGAGCTGGCCTCCATCATGGCCACTCGAGGGATCATTGCAGGCCCTCCAGACCCCTGGGGCCTGCTGTGCATGTGGCTCTTACTCTTTTTAAAACTCGAACAGAAAACTAGACTAGACTTCAGTGTTTTAACGGCCCCCCTTTGCCCCTGGCATACCCTGGACCCCAGTCAATAGTGGAGGCTGTCAGCTGTCTCCTCCTCTCCTTCTCCTGGCAGTCTGTGTGTGGAGGAGAGAGGCTGTTCTGAAATTGACCAGCTTCTCTTCATCTCTTCCACTCCCCTTTCTCCTGCTGTCAGATGGATTTATTCCTTTTTTAAAACGATGAACCTTGGAAATGAGACTGTGGGGGTGTCTTTAGGGTTTTTCTTTTCCTTTTGTAACCGTTTGCGGGGGGTAGAGTGGGGTTGGGGTTTCAAATGACCTCCTGTCACCCTCCCAGGGAGCTTATTTATTTACCTCTTAAAAATCCAATTGGTGGGAGGCGGAGCACTGTATTCCAGCATGTCTTGTTTTATGATGAGATTACTCAGCAAGGTTTTAATGCCATTTGGGCAGTGTAAGCTTCTGCATCTTTGTTGTGCTGAACTCTCTTATTCTTCCTCTCATCTTTCTCACCTGTGCCCATTTTCTCTCTCTGGTCTAATCTCTTTTCATGTCTTCTGCCTTCCCCTCTCCTCTCTCCTCTCTCTTTCTCTCTGTTTTCTTCTCTTTCTCCTACTTTCTGGTCCTTTTTCTCACCCAGATTTTCTTAATAAATTTATATTTTGTAAAAGGATTTTGTTGTACCCAGTTTTGCATCTTCACCTGATCTCTGACTGGCTAAATTCCTTTTTCCATCTTCCTGTCATTCCCTGCCCTCCTCCCCCTTCCAGAATCATTTCTTTTTGTTCTTAACATCACCTCTGCCCCCTTTCCTTACCAGTCCCTATCATGTCCAGTCACTGTTTTGGTTTTGGCACCATCAATATCAAATGTACAAACGGTTCTTGCTAACCAACACCAGGTATATCTGATGTTCAGATGAGTTCCAATAAAAAGAATTTTTTTTTCAACCAGTGTCATTTCTTGAGTGTTGGAAACCCAGAGTGCCTTCTGGGCATTCTGAATCCCTGACACCCTTGAGTGTCTGGATGTGAATCTTGGGTCCTAGGCATTATTCTGATCAGAAAAAGATAGGTTTTTCTGTTAATAGGAAGGGTTCATGGTGAGATATTAAGTCCAAACTGGGGTTTGGGGAGAATCTTCTAAACTGAAATCCAGGATTTCCAGGATGGTAACCAATCTTTACGTCTTGAGAATCCTATAAAGCAATATTTCCCAACTGGTTAGCCACAGAATACTCTTGATAGAATTTGATAGGGCTTGACAGAACACAGAAATCTGAGTCCTGAGGTATTGAGCGCTTTGGGGGTGAGAGTGGGTGTGGTTGTGGAAAATTTTGGAGCAAAATGGAGGAAAGTAAGCCTGTTTTCATACTGAAAAACTGGCACATGTCAAAAAGCATTTTTGTTACATAATTGCATGTTAGAAACATTTTAAATGGGAAATAATCATGCGTCAGATGTTCTCGGTGTAACTCCATTCACGTTTCTTTTTTGGGGGGAAATACTCTAAAGGGACCTGGTGGGGTGGGTGGAGGATGTCAGGTCAGTTAATTTTCACAAATACAGAGTATCGAGTATCTTATAGGCTAGTCTTAGGTTCCTCTCTCCCCATGCCAAGCCCCTCGATTTCCTCATTCTTTGTTCATCACTTTCCACCCCCACATGGGACCTCTAAGGGAGCTGGGAAGCAGCTGAAGCTTTTGTATCCTGCTCAACGAGGCTCCTTCCCTTGGGGCCTGTGTTGTGCCCTAGGGTCTAGAGGAGAAGGCTGGGGCCGGATTCACCTGTTAGGGGCTTATTGTGAAGGTCAGGCGAAGAAGACGCACAGCTGGCTGTAAGCCACGTGGTTGCGCTCAGGGGACAAGGAGGCTGCCGGGCCAAAACAGCGAAGCCATGTGGTCCACTGGATACACGCAGTAGTTTCGTGATGTGTTGCTTAAAAGAACCGCTAGATGTCGCCCTAGGATCCCATTAGGAACAAAGACTGGTTTGGTGGGATCTTGCTTGCCGTTACAGGCCGGGGTTGGGAGGGGTGACGGGCACGCAGGATGGTGAAGGGCTTCATTTCTTCCCTGATTTATGGCGATGGGCCTCAGGGATCTTACTGTACTGGGCTCTTAGGATAGGGAAGAGAAAAGCAGGCCAACCCTGGCCTCTTTGATCCAGACATTTCTGGCTGCATTGTAACACACAGACAGACACACACACACACACACACACACACACACACACACACACACACACACACGAAAGAGAGAGAGAGAGAGAGAGAGAGAGAGAGAGAGAGACTGTTGTGGAAAGTAGGCTCAATTCCACTGGGCTGGTACTAAGTGAGGTTAATTGAGGGGTATAAAAACTATAACAGGAGAGGGCCAGCTGTCTGGCCAAGGTGGTGGCCTGCTGCATAACCCTTCTTCCTCTGCAGCCATTGCAGAGCTGTGATAATGGAAACACTTCTGGACTTGGAATCTCAGAAGACTTGGGGTTTGTGAGGATTTGGGTTTTACTACTTGACTGTTACCTGTGAGACCTTGGAGAAATCACTTCAATCTTTTGGGGCCTCCCTTTCTTCCTCTATAAAGTTACTGGATTTTAGAATGTAGCTAGGGTCTCTTCCAGCTCTAAATCCTGTGATCCTTTGAAGGCAGTCACTAGCCTGTTCCAAAGGTGCCAACATTAGGGGCAGCTAGGTGGCACAGTGCATAGAGCACCAGCCCTGAAGTCAGGAGGACCTGAGTTCAATTGCAGCCTCAGACTAAATACTTGACACTTACTTGCTGTGTGACCCTGGGCAAGTCACTTAACCCCAATTGCCTAAAAAAAACCCAAAGGTGCCAAACCTTTAAAACTACACAGACTTGGGGGCACCCTATAGAATGGCTACAACCTCCCTATTTGGAGGGCAGGAATGGGGCCTATGTGGAGAAGGCGCAGATTCAGCCAAGGGATGCCTCATTCTCATAGGTCAGGATGTTATAGAACTTCAAAATGTCACAAAAACAATCCTGATGTGTTTAGGGGCTTGTGAAAAGGAACCTTTTCCTAAGGTGTGTTGTGAGATGGTTTGGAGAGGAGTGGAGGGTAGTACTCTTTCTAAAATTTTTTTTGGAGTCCAGTAATTAATTCTCTTTTGCCACTGAATTTGAAAGCAAAATCTCAGACTTTTGTAGAGCATTGTAGAGAATTCTAGCGTAGCTGAATTTTATGGCAGAATCAACAGCCTGTCTTATTCCATCATGCCTCTTACCTAATTTTTGCCCCCTTAAGATTAAAGGGACAGACCTGACACTAGCTAAAAAAGTAGCATAGGAAAGGGCCAGAGGCTTAGAAGTCAGGAGGCCTGAGTTCTAGGCCTATTTTGGCCCCCTCTAGCCTGGGGAACTTGGAGTCACTTCTCATTAAGCCTCAGTTTCCCTATTGGTAAAATGATGAGTTTGGACCAGATTATTTTTAAGGTATTTTCTAGTTCCAAAATTCTGTTCACATCTGGATCTCAACTGAATGTTTTCACCCTTGACTACCAAATCCTTATCTCAAAATTAAAGCTCCAAGGTGAAGTAAATTCAAATTTAAGGGGTTGCCAAGAAAGGATCCCAGTTACTGGTCTATGGGAGGAACAGTTGATGGGGAAATGCTTTTATTCTTTCTTCACTTTCTGCTAAATGAAAAGCCCCATGTCATTTGGGACTGTTTTGGATATATCCCACAAAGTCTTCAGTCCGTGTATTTGATTTTTAAAAATTTCAATAAGAAACTCGTTTGTGATTTGGAGGAGGGGTCATGGGGTTTGGCATTTATGAAGTAAAGAGAGACAGACTCAGGTCTTGTGTGTTGCTGGTAGAAAAAGGTGGGATGTGACTTCAGTAGTCTTAGGAACTTGCCTCCACCAATACCACCAACTTGGTACTCTTAAGAGTTACCTAGAACAAGCTAAGTTAAGTAATGCCCAGGGTCACAAAGCTAGTATGTGTCAGAGAATTTGAACTGAAGGCTCTTTAACAGACAGGGCTGGCTTTCTTCATATGTCACATTACCTCTCAACAACATAGAAACACCACGTGAGCTCAAAGTCTTAAAACTCCTGTATTAGAACCTCCTGTCACTTTCACGTGGCAAAGGCTCAGGGCCAGCTTCTTTGCAGACATAGTGTACTTTCACTCAGGTTTTAGTTCCTAAGTGCCAAGGCTTGGCTCTGTTCCAGTGTGTGGTATAGAAAAGCTACCTTTGTACCCGAACCCGCATTTGAACTGTTCTCAAACCACATTGAGCCTCCTCTGGCTTGGCAGAGGCCCTGTCCTAGTGTGAGCGACAAGGGGTGCTCTGAAGACACAAACAACTCCAGGGAAGAATGTGCTTTATTTGTGAGGTCATTAATGTAGGGATGGAAGGGACCTTAAATGAGTTTAGTGCCCATTATGGGAGAAGCAACAAGCCTGCTGCTGTGAGAGCATTTCGGGTGGGTGTGTGTGTGTGTGTGTGTGTGTGTGTGTGTGTGTGTGTGTGTGTGTGTGTGTGTGTGTGTGTGTGTGTGTGTGTATGTGTGTGTGTGTGTGATCGATCGATTTTTTTGACGAGTGGCCCAGGGATGGTCTATTGTCTACAGACCAGCCTGCCTAAATTCCAAGGGGCTCCTAACAAGGGGGCCACTGTCAGCTCTTGTTTCTCTAACTTGCAGAGGGGTCATCGATTCAGAGCTGGCAGGGCACTTACCCATCATCTAGCTTAGCTCCCTCATTTTAAAGAGGAAAACCGAAAACCCGAGAGATTTGAAGGCACCCGGGCCTTCTTTGAATCCATCCAGTGCGCTTTGCCCAAGCACAGGTGTCATGTCGGTGATATCACCAATGATGGAAGTATTGGTTTTTTCTTTTGTTTTTGAAGGGTCATGAGAAAGTAGAAAAGACTCCAGCGCCAGTAGCCCGACTGTCAGCCAGATGTCTTCCTTCACTAACCATTAACGATCGCCCGCCTGGGAGGGTCTGGAAGTGACTTGGATGGGGAGAAGGGATCTAGCCGCCGGTGCCGGTCCCCGCCTCTCGCCCCGCTTGGTGGGGGCCGGGCGATCCTGGGGTGGGCACCGCTAGGCGCGGTGACTGGCAGCTCCGGCAGGCGGGGCTACTGCGGGAAGACTGCGGGGAAAGGAGCCCGGCCAAAGGCCGGCGGCGGCTTCCCGAAGCGGAGCCCCCAAAGCTGGACGAGGGCCGTCGGCCAGGGGCAGCGCCCTCCTCGGGCGGTCGGTCTGGGTCCCTCGGGCTCCGCCTCGGGTGGGAACAAAGGCGGCACGTGCGTGGGCGGGGCGGGGCGGGGCTGGGTCTCCTCGGCCGCAGTCTGGGAGCTGCGCGATTGACAGCCCCCGGGACCCCGAGGCCGATGCGGCAGCAGCTGCTGCTGCAGGAGCTGCGACGGCGGCCAGGGGCGGGGAGAGGAGGCGGAGCTCGGGGGGCGGGGCAGGGGCGGGGCCGGGGCCGCGTGCTGCTGCTGCCACCGCCTCCGCCGCCGCCGCCGCGGGTGTCTCGGGATTCTGAAATGGAACGCGGACACTAGAGGCGCTTCCTCCGGCTCCGGCTCCGGCTCCGGCTCCGGCTCCGGCTCCGGCTCCCGCCCCGGCCTCCGAGCGGCGGCTGCGAGCGCGGACAGCGGCCACGGCCACGGCGGCGGCTTCCCCAGCGGAACGAGGCGGGCCCGGGGGCTGGTCGGCCGGCGCGTGGGCAGAGCGCGCGGCCCCGACTGGGCGCTGGGCTCCGGGAACGCGGCGGCGGCGGCGGGGGCGGCGGCGGGGGGCGGCGGGACGGCGGGGGACGGCGGGGGGCGGGGCTGGAGCAGCCGGCTGCAGAACCTTGGACAGAAGCTTGAGCCAGAGCCGGGAGCCCCGCGTCCCTCCGCGCCCTCCCGCGCCCCTCCGCGCCGTAGCCGCCGCTGCCCCCGCTGCCGCCGCCGCCGCGGGCGGG